AGCATACTCTGCTCTAATTGGTCAGGTGGCATTAGTCTGTTCTGATTAGTCAAGTTACCTACTCTGCACTACTTATTTAGAAGATTTCACTGTTCTTTGATTGGTCAGGTGACCACACTCTTCTCTAAATGGTCAGGTGACCACACTCTGCTCTGATTGGCCAGATGACCTCATGCTGCTCTAACTGGTGAAATAGCCATACTCTGCTATAATTGATCAAATGACCACACTCTGCTCTGATTGGTTAGATGACCACATTCGCTCTAATTGGTGGCCCTACTCTGCTCTGGTTGGTCAGATGACCACACTCTTCTCTGATTGGTCAGGTGACCACACTCTGCTCTGATTGCCCAGATGACCCCATGTTGCTCTCACTTTTCAATTAGCCATACTCTGCTATTATTGGTCAAATGACCACACTCTGCTCTGATTGGTTAGCTGACCACATTCTGCTCTAATTGGTGGCCCTACTCCGCTCTGGTTGGTCAGATGACCACACTCTTCTCTGATTGGTCAGATGGCCCCATGCTGCTCTCACTGATCAAATAGCCCTACTCTGCTATAATTGGCTGGATGACCACACTCTGCTCTGATTGGTTAGATGTCCACATTCTGCTCTTATTGGTGGCCCTACTCTGCTCTGGTTGGTCAGATGACCACACTCTTCTGTGATTGGTCAGATGACCACACTCTGCTCTTTTTAGCCAGATAACCCAATGCTGCTCTCACTGGTCAAATAGCCCTACTCGGCTATAATTGGCTGGATGACCAAACTCTGCTCTGATTGGTTAGATGACCACATTCTGCTCTTATTGGTGGCCCTACTCCGCTCTGGTTGGTCAGATGACCACACTCTTCTCTGATTGGTCAGATGGCCCCATGCTGCTCTCACTGATCAAATAGCCCTACTCTGCTATAATTGGCTGGATGACCACACTCTGCTCTGATTGGTTAGATGTCCACATTCTGCTCTTATTGGTGGCCCTACTCTGCTCTGGTTGGTCAGATGACCACACTCTTCTGTGATTGGTCAGATGACCACACTCTGCTCTTTTTAGCCAGATAACCCAATGCTGCTCTCACTGGTCAAATAGCCCTACTCGGCTATAATTGGCCGGATGACCACACTCTGCTCTGATTGGTTAGATGACCACATTCTGCTCTAAATGGTGGCCCTACTCTTCTTTGATTGGTCAGATGACCACATACTTGTCTGATTGGTCAGATGACCACACTCTGCTCTTATTGGCCAGATGGCCCCATGCTGTTCTCACTGATCAAATAGCCCTACTCGGCCATAATTGGCCAGATAACCAAACTCTGCTCTGATTGGTTAGATGACCACATTCTGCTGTAATTGGTGGCCATACTCTTCTCTGATTGGTCAGATGATCCCACTCTCAAAAAGCCCACTCTTTATTCATTGGCTGTTGACTTGTGTAGGAAAGCAAACTGGATTTCAGCACGTGTGCAGTGAACATTAACAAAGGTATCAATTTTACAGTATCAATATATCATCCATGCAAAACTGCATCTTCTTGACCTGTCGACATGCAAAAAACTAAACTCTTCCAGTCTCATCTGTAACTACATTGCCACACACTGATGAAGACCAATGAGGACCATAGATTAATATAATGAAAATGTGTTTCAAATCTGCATAAGTGTGTGTAGGACGTGAGACTGGAGTTATTGATCTTGATTAGGAGAAAGGGACTCGACCAGCGACTGTCAGGATCCAGCCCTGTCACTCCTGTCTGTGTTTAATGTCTCTCTGTTTGTTTTGTGTATTAGCACATGGTTGTCTCTTTTGTTGTGTTGGCCATGTGCTCCCCTTGTCCTTCCTCCTTGGTTTCCTATGCCTCGGCCCCGTTTAGTCCTTGTTTGTCTAATTATGTTCATTTTCCACTAGTCTTTGCCGGTTCGTCATACTATCTTTTGTGTTCTTGTCGCTGATCTTGTTTAGTGCTTGATAGAGGTTTTTAATAGTCTAGTTTTGTTTCTTTTGGCTAGCCTTAGTCTAGTGCTAGTCTTTTTGATCTTTATCTCGAATTCATTTATCCTTTTGATTCTGTTTATTTATTTTTCTTCTTTCAGCAAGGTGGCTGTCGTTTTCATTTTTCATTTTGTTTGTAGTTTAAGACTAATTTTGAGTTTTCATTTTGCCATTTTTGTAATCCCTTATCCCAGTCTGCACCTAGTTTTTTGTTAGTTCTTTATTTTTTAGTTCCTGTTGTTGTTGTGTTTTGCTTTCTATTTTATTTCTAGCTATATCTTATTTCAATCGCCCTTTTGTTTTAGTTTTTAGTAGTTTTATTTAGTTCCTTATTCGTTTCATTTTATTTCTCGAGCTCTATTTCCCTCCCTCCTAAATATTTATTTTTGTTCTAGTTTTTTGCCTGCTCTTTTTAATTTTTTTGTCTCCCCAGCTGTCTATTCCTGTTGTGTTGCTTGTCACTTGCCTCCTGATTCTTCGCTGGTTGTGGATTCACTTGATTGATGTTCCATCTGTTTGCCACCCCTGTCCCAAACCGGAGGTTCGGCTAGCTACTTATTGACTGCTTGGCCTGAAGTTTGGAATTTCCCCTTTCCCGACCAGCCTGTTTCACTCCCCATAAGACACTCCCCTCTGTATCATCCTGAAGTCCTGAGTCTCCTCCCCTCACCAGCCTGTTCTCCTGCCATCACCCTTCACTATTGTGCGGACTGTCCTTCTGCGTTGCCTTGTTTACCTCCTGTAAATAAACCTTGTGTTCTCCTGTCTATTCTGCGTTTGAGTCCTCCTTGCCAACCGTGACAGCGACCTAACTTGACTTGATCTCTGACTCTCTGAAGACATTTTCCATTCACAAAGACATACCTTATGCACTATATGATTGGTAATATCACTGTGTTAATAAACACACAACCTCATAGTCTTTAATGCTGCCTTTCCAGGAGCAGCCCTCATTGAAGCACACGGCTGGAAGATTTTCAACTTCTCTTCTGGCAGCATTGTCGGGAAACGCCTGCAGGAAAACACATGGAAAGTGCAAGCTCTGCAGTTTAAGGTTTGGCTTTAAATCATATTCAAATGTTCATATCTGATGATTTTTGTGCTTACGCAGCCTTGTTTGAGGATTGACGTGGGCTCTTCGAAGATGTCCTCTTTGATGCAGGCATTACATTTCTGTGGTCCAGATCTGACATGACATCAGAGCACAGATTTGATAGTTTGACATCCACATTTTAGCTTTAATAACGTTTGAGTATTGGTGGTGTAGTTTGAGTGTTAAAATTTGCAATTTATATACATATACACCATATAAAATACAAAAAAATATGTGTATGTCTCAAAGATTCATTCATTCATTCATTTTCTTGTCGGCTTAGTCCCTTTATTAATCCGGGGTTGCCACAGCGGAATGAACCGCCAACTTATCCAGCAGGTTTTTTACGCAGCGGATGCCGTTCCAGCTACAACCCATCTCTGGGAAACATTCACACACACACTCATACACTACGGACAATTTAGCCTACCCGATTCACCTGTACCGCATGTCTTTGGAGTGTGGGGGGAAACCGGAGCACCCGGAGGAAACCCACGCGAAGGCAGGGAGAACATGCAAACTCCACACAGAAACACCAACTGAGCCGAGGTTCGAACCAGCGACTTTTAGCTGTGAGGCGACAGCACTACCTACTGCGTCACTGCCTCACCCCGTCTCAAAGATTCATTAATTAATTTTCCTTCGGCTTAGTCTCTTTATTCATCAGGGGTCGCCACAGCGGAATGAACCGCCAACTTATCCAGCATATATTTTACACTGCAGATGCTCTTCCTGCTGCAACCCAGTACTGGGAAACACCCATACACACTCATTCACACTACGGCCAATTTAGTTCATCCAGTTTACCTATAGCGCATGTGTTTGGACTGTGGGGGCAGCCGGAGGAAACCCAAGCCAACACGGGGAGAACATGCAAACTCCACACAGAAATGCCACCTGACCCAGCCGATGCTCAAACCAGCGACCTTCTTGCTGTGAGACGACAGTGCTAACCACTGAGCCACCGTGCCCCCTTGATCTCTGATGTAATGGTTTAAATTTCTCGCATCAGAACTGAGCTTGATCCGCCAAACCAGCGCATGTGTTTTAGATCAGCGGTGTGAATTACCCAACAGTCCGGTTGAAGCAGTAAGAGCAAAAGCGATGGCCGCACTGAGCTTGGAACGGTCTCCTCAGAATGTTCTGACAGCAGTTGCATAAATGTTTATCTTCAAGTTTGTTGGCCAGAATCTTCTTCGGGAACCCTGGCTTGTTGTTCTCCATGGAGGACGGAGGAGAGGGTTCTTGAGCTGCCATGATCCCCTCTAAACCTTCCTGATCTGAACAAAAAGACAAAAAACACCATCACATATACAGTTGAAGTCAAGATTATTATCCCTCCTGTGAAATTTCTTTTCATTTTTCACAGTATTTCCTATAATATTTTTTTTCTTCTGGAGAAAGTCTTATTTGTTTTATTTCGGCTAGAATAAAAGCATTTTTTTTAACAATATTATTAGCCCCTTTACGCTATATATATATTTTCGATTGTCTACAGAACAAACCATTGTTATACTACATAAGCCCCTTTCACACAGTGATACCGGTAAATATCTGGAAGATTTCCAGAACGACTTTATCGGTAGATTCACAAAAGTGCTGTTCACACAGTCGAGGACGTTACGGAATTTTTCCGGAAAAGACCGTTCACACATCCATTCTAAAATAGCGCTAAATTCTGACATCAATAATCAGAAATGAGCTCTAAACAGCAGGGCTTGTATTTGTAAACATTTGACTACATCATAAACTCTGTTGATGAATCAGTATTGTGAACAACTTCGATGAAAACATATAGAGAAACACTTTCGCATGTCGAGATGTTCATTATATGTGTTTGTGCTGGCGCTCACAGGCTGTTTCACAGGCACACGCAAAGCTTGAAGGTAAACAAACAACGGCTTATCATAAGCATCCTATCGATGATTATTTACACGGTTGGCATTAAGATGAACATATAAACATTCTCTGACTAATTTCTAGCAGCTAAATGTGTCTGGAAAAATATTCACAGGCTTTTATTCTCATAAACCGCGCGGACGTGAATGCGTCTGACTGTTGTGATTAGCTAAAGTAGCATCAGCATGTTCTAGACGCGCACGCGCTCTTTCCGGTAAGCTTCCTTCTGCGTTCTCACATCGCAGCATTCCGGCAATGGTAATGTTACAACTTCTCTTTCCGGAAAATAGCCAGAACGAATTTACCGGTATTTTTTAAAAGGGCCTGTTCACACATACAGACCTTTCCAGAAAATTGCCGGTAATTTTCCGGAAAGGTCTGTGTGTGTGAAAGGGGCTAAAAACTTGGCTAATTACTCTAACCTGCCTAGTTCACCTAATTAACCTAGTTAAGCCTTTAAATGTCACTTTAAACTGTATAGAAATGTCTTAAAAATATCTAGTCAAATATTATTTACTGTCATTATGACAAAGAAAAAATAAATCAGGGATTAGAAATAAGTTATTAAATTTATTATGCTTAGAAATGTGTTGAAAAAGTCTGGTCTCCGTTAAACAGAAATTGTGAGAGAGAAAAAATATACAGGGGAGCGAATAATTCTGACTTCAACTTTAGATAAAACAGTCACTTTACAATAGGCTTTCTTAGTTAATGTTACTAAGACTGAACAATTCATAGTTTGATATTTACTGAACTGTGAGTTGGTCAGGATGACAGGATGAGCAACATGTGTGAACGGAGTGCATGTATGAAATTGTAGTCCAAAATGGTGGATTTGTAGTCCGGAAGCTAATGTGTGTGAATTCCAGCGATCAATAGATTTACGATCGCTGGTGATCGTGAAACATGTGTTTATTCATGAGGTTTTTATTTATGGTGAAAAAAATTCATTGCTGTAAATTAGCCTAATTAATAATCCATAGCAAAGAATAAAATTAAATAGGCATTGGCACTCAAGATGTCAAATGAAACATAAAATAAACCCATTGTGCCAAAGTTTATATTTTGTAAGTATAATTTGTACAATAAATAAATAAATAGAATAATATAACCATATAACATTAAATAATATAATATAGTAATTAATAATTATATAATACAAACTTTAACTATAATATTTCATTAATTGTAGGTATTTATTTATGATGAAAAAAAAACATTTTATCACTGTAAATTATCATTAGCCTAATTATTAATCCCCAAAATTAAATATAAGATCTCAAATTAAATATAAGATGTAAAATTAAACACAAAATACTACATTTTATGGGTTTCAAGATAATTTGTACAGTGAAATAAATATAATACAATAACGGCATAATAACAAATAACATATCAATATAAAAAATAATATGATGATTAATAATAATATAATTTAAACTTTAAAATTTATATTTATTATCCATGTGCTTATTTATAATGTATTTATGATGAAAACAATAATTAGGCAGTTATTATATTAAATTTATTTATTTTACTGTACAAATTATACTTACAAACATAAAATATGGAACAATGTGTGATCTTAAGCACAAGATGTGAAATGAAGCACGAAATAAACACATTGTGCCATATTTTATGATTTGCAGGCTTAATGTGTACAATAAAATAAATAAATAAATATAATAGCATAATATAATAATAATAAATAATATAGTAATTAGCATAATAATAATAATAATAATAATAATAATTATAATATAATTCAAACTTTTAAAAATAATATTTCATTAATTGTAGGTAATTATTTATGATTAAAAAAAAAACAATTTATCACTGTAAATTATCATTAGCCTAATCATTAATCCCCAAAAATAAATATGAGATCTAAAATTAAATATAAGATGTAAAATGAAACACACAATAAACACAAAATTCCATATTTTATGGGTTTTAAGCATAATTTGTACAGTAAAATAAATAAATATAAAATGATAACGCCATAATAATGCATAGCATAATATAATAAATAAAATATAATGATTATTATATAATATAATTTAAACTTTAAAATTTTAATTTAATATCCATGTGCTTATTTATACGGTATTTATTTATGATGAAAAAAAATGCCGTTATCACAATATATTTATTCATTTTCCTGTACAAATTATACTTACAAACATAAAATATGGGACAATGTGTGATCTAAAATTAAGCACAAGATGTTAAGTAAACACATTATTCCATATTTTATCGTTTATGCGTATAATTTTTACAGTAAAATAAATAAATATAATAACATTATGGCGCAGTGGGTAGCACGTTCACTTGACAGCAAGAAGGTCGCTGGTTCGAGCTTCGGCTGGGTCAGTTAGTAATTCTCTGTGGAGCTTGCATGTTCTCCCCGCGTTCGCGTGGGTTTCCTCCAGGTGCTCCAGGCTGCATTCCAAAGACATGTGGTACAGGTGAATTGGGTAAGCTAAATTGTCCATAGTTTATGAGTGTAAATGAGTGTGTAAGGATGTTTTCCAGAGATGGGTTGTAGCTGGAAGGGCATCCGCTGCGTAAAACATATGCTGGTTAAGTTGGCGGTTCATTCCACTGTGGCGACCCCAGATTAATAAACGGACTAAGCCGTAAAGAAAATGAATGAATAAATAAATATAATAATAAACAATATAGTAATTAATATTAATATAATTCAAACTTTTAAAATAATATTTTATTAATTTTGGGTATTTATTTATATGTAAATTAACATTAACCTAATCATTAATGCACAAAATTAAATATAAGATCTAAAATTAAATATAAGATGTAAAATTAAACACAAAATAAACACATTGTGCCATATTTTATGATTTGCAGACTTAATGAGTACAATAAAATAAATCAATAAATGAATATAATAACATAATATAATAATAAATAATATATTAATAATAATATAATTCAAACTTTAACAATAATATTTCATTCATTTTAGGTATTTATTTATAATGAAAAAAAAAAACATTTTATCGCCGTAAATTATCATTAGCCTAATTAATAATCCACAAAATTAAATATAAGATCTAAAATTAAATATAAGATGTAAAATTAAACACAAAATAAACACATTGTGCATATTTTATGATTTGCAGGCTTAATGTGTACAATCAAATAAATAAATATATTAACATAATATAATAATAAATAATATAATAATAATAATAATAATAATAATAATAATAATAATAATAATTATAATATAATTCAAACTTTTAAAAATAATATTTCATTAATTGTAGGTAATTATTTATGATTAAAAAAAAAACAATTTATCACTGTAAATTATCATTAGCCTAATTATTAATCCCCTAAATTAAAAATAGGAACTAAAATTAAATATAAGATGTAAAATAAAACATAGTAAATAATGAAAAATAGTCATTAATAATTATATAATACAAACTTTAACAATAATATTTCATTAATTGTAGGTATTTATTTATGATAAAAAAAACATGTTATCACTGTAAATTATCATTAGCCTAATTATTAATCCCCTAAATTAAAAATAGGAACTAAAATTAAATATATAAGGTCTAAAATTTAATATAAGATGTCAAATGAAGCACAAAATAAACACATTGTGCCATATTTTATGATTTGCAGGCTTGATGTGTGTAATAAAATAAATATGATATAACTACAATAACAAATAAATACTACTAATAATAAATCAATTATTGTATGGCTTATTATGCATCATTTAATAAGATTGTCACTATATGCTATCACTTGCGCATAGTAAAAATACAAACCTCTCATCTAAAATAACCAGATCAACATTATTAAACCCTAAAAGCTTTAATAACTGACAGTGAGCGGGTCTCTAAACCCGAAAGCCAGTCTCTTTGTTTCTGTTTCAGTTTTGCTTTATGTCCTATACAGTATGTTTCCACACAAACATGCACGCGCAAATGCTACATACAAAATAATGTACAGTAGTGTAAAACATCCACACGACAAGAAGCTTTTTCATGCATGTCCGACAGCACTTTTTTTTTTTTTGGTCAGATATCGACCATGCATCTCGTCGATATACATCATCATACAGTCAGCTGACAATTGCACATCTCATCTTTTTCCCTCTGTTGCTAAGCAAATGCAACATCTTTTCTGGGGGTTGTTGCGTCCGTTCTGTGCCGCCACGCCTCTTTTACATGCATTAAAGAGATATGGCGAGCCTGACAATCAACGTAGATGCAATAAAAATGAGAAAGGAAGCATGGATTTGAACGGAAAGCAATGCACGGATTGCATTGACTTACCGCACCGCGCCGGGATTTTCCGTTCATTTGCTCGGTTGCGCTTTGCCTGTGCTGGACGGAGGCTGCTGTGTTTTGGTGGTCGACATTGTTGAGAGGAGCGCGTGCTCTTTCACAGGATTACGTCATAATGTGTGCGTGCACTGGGCTTTTGGATCTCTGAGGCAGGTTTTTTTTTTTTTCTAACAGGAGGACTGTCTATAATGATAAGCTGCTGAGATACAGGATAGCCTAATGGTTGGATGAAAATAGGCCTATTTAATGATTTAAAAAATATAGATTTGACTGTGTAATATCAGTTTAAATGTGTAACATTTATGTTCTTACATTTATTATTTATTTATTTATTCATTTATTTATTTATTTATTTTTTATTTTTTTGATTTATTTATTTATTTATTATTTTTGAGTGCATAATGTAATTGTACCAAAGATGTATTGCTGACAAAAATGTTATTGTTAAATAATAATAATAATAAAAATGCAGTTTTATTTTTATTATTTATATTTTTATAATTTATATTTCATATTTTATAAGTAAATATGTTTTTTAATGGTTGAGTGAAAATAGGCCTATATAATAATGAAAAATATAGGACTGTATAATATACATTTACATGCAGGGGCATAGCAATAACAGGGGGATACATCGCCCTTGCTTTTAGACACAGGCCATTTAGAAACAGGTGATTAATAATAAAATTAACTTAAAATTTTGGATCTCATTTAGCTGTCCCCCAGACTTTTAAAATGTCAGCTTCACCCCTGTTTACATATGTGACATTTATGTTCTTAAATTTATTTATTAATACACACACATATATATATATATATATATATATATATATATACAAACACACACACACACACACTACAAATTACAGTACACTACAAATTACTGTAAAAAATATACACGAACCATAAAATATAGCACAATGTGTTTATTTTGTGCTAAATTTTACGTCTTATATTTAATTTTAGATCTTATATTTAATTTTGTGCAGTAATAATAAGTTTAATGATAATTTACAGTTGTAATTTTTTATCCTAAATAAATACCTAAATTACAAAAAAAATTGCTGTTAAAGTTTGAATTAATTATTATTTATTATTATATTTATTGATTCATTCATTCATCAGGTGTCGCCACAGCGGAATGAACCGCCAACTTATCCAGCATATGTTTTATGCAGCGGATGCCTTTCCGGCTGCAACCCATCTCTGGGAAACATCCACACACACTCATTTACACTCATACACAACGAACAATTTATTTTACCCAATTCACCTGTACCGCTTGTGTTTGGACAAATGTGTCATGTGACTCTAAAGAAAATCATCTTTAAATCACTAGAAAAAATATTAAATTAAAAGCATTAAATATTAAATTGAAGTAGAAATTATTAGCCCCCCAAAAAACATTCAAAACATTTCTAAACATAATAGTTTTAATAACTCATTTCTAATAACTGATTTATTTTATCGCTTTATAGCTATTCAGTTTTGACTAGTATGTATTCCAGCTGGGACTAGTACAGTTAGTTGCCTATTCTTTAGATACTAGTACTCATTCATTAGATACTAGCAGTGGTGTAAAGTTACTAATTACAAACTCAAATTACTGTAATTAATTACTTTTTCTCAGGAATTGTAATTTACTGAGTAGTTTTAAAAATGTGTACTTCTACTCTCACTTGAGTACATGTTTAGTGCTGTATCGGTACTTTTACTCCGCTACTTTCCTTCAGTCTGCAGTCACTGCTTTATTTTTTCTTGTCTATGGGGATTAGAAAGCTCAGTCCTGTGATTCCTGTCCAATCAAATCACACACAGAAGGTAAATCACATCATAATGAACTACCTGAAGACATGAGCGATTTATAAATGCAGCAAACTGTTTGGAAGCATTAAATGTGTCCAAGAAGATGTCCAAAACCTTTACACGCACTGACCCAGAGACTGTTTACATGCACATCACTGATAAGAAGATGACGGATGTTTACTGTATGGGGACCGAAATGGCCTTAAACACCCAGCAAGCACAAGACATTAACATGACGTCGTATTGACGTTGTACTCCAATGTCGTGGGGACGTTGCGTTTTGTTGGGTATTTACTATGATCTTCTAAAGCTGCTTTGAAACAATTTACATTGTAAACGTGCTATACAAATAAGTGTGAATTAAATTGAAATGAAACATCGGGTTGACGTCAGAACTCAATGTTAGACCAACGTCAATGTCCAACCGAAAACCAACCAAATATCAACGTCTAATGATGTCACAGCTTGAAGTTGTGTGGGCGTTACCACTATGACGTCTATCAGATGTTGGATTTTGGTTGCCATACCTGATGAATAAATGTCAGAAATTGACGTCAATATGATGTTGGTTTAAGATGTTGGCTCGACGCTGGATTTTGGTCACTTTCTAACAACCTAAAATCGACCAAATATCAACGTCATTTAACGTTGTCAATAGTCATCAAAATAACGTTATCCTTAGACGCTGGCTAGACATTGAATTTTGGTCACTTGACATCACAACCTAAATCTAACCTAATATTAACATCCTATTACGTTGTGTGACGTGTGTGAATGTTACGTTTACACACACGTCCACAAATTATAAACGCATCAGTTTTTCACAGCGTAATACTCACTACTCACACTGAAAAAAATGATTTAGGCCTCTATTAAATTAAACATAATTCAATTTAGTTTATTTTAAACAATTTAATTTAGTTGTTGATTTTATTAAATTATTATTAATCGGGTTTAATGCATGAGTACTTTTAAAAGGGCTACTTTTTACTCATACTTTGAGTAATATTTACAGCAGATACTTTTACTCTACTTGCACTACATTTTTAGGCAAGTAATAATACTTTTACTTGAGTATGATTTTTCAGTACTCTTTCCACCACTGGATACTAGTATCTATTAAATAGATACTAATGATTGATTACTGTCTAATGGATAAATACTAGTATCTAATACATAAGTACTATCTATTTAATAACTACTAGTGTCTAATAAATGAGTTCTAGAATTGAAAGAATAGGCACTAGTATCTAACGACTAAGCACTACTATCTAAAGAATGAGTACTAACGTTAAAGACACTAGTATCTAACAAATAAGCAGTAGTATCTAATGCAGGGGTACCCAAACTTTTCAGCCCGCGACCCCCAAAATAACAACGCCAGTGACTCGCGACCCCCAATATCCTCTGAGGTGGTTATAAATACAGAAACCTTGCATGCAATGACGCAGACACACCAATTAAATTTGTGTCAGTGCTTTAAATGTGCCAGAAAGTATAACCTGATGTTATAAAATCAAAATGCATCTGACGCTATTGCTACCTTTAATATAATGTAATTACCCCAGGGGTCGCAATCCAATAGAACTAGTAACAATAAGCTACTATAGTAACTATATAGTATATAGTAACTATAAACTACTATTTTTATTTTCAGTATAGTTATGGATAAAATATGTTAATTATTATGGTTTAATAAAAATAAATAGATTTTTGGAAATCACCAGGCGATCGCCCTTCATTGCCCCGCGACCCCTCGGGGGATCCCGACCCCCACTTTGAGAACCACTGATCTAATGAATAAGTACTAGTACTTAATGGAAAATATACTAGTATCTAAAAAATAAGCACTAGTAACATGAAAATAAATACCAAAACGGGTTATTGATTAATGTCAAAACGACTTGCCATACTCTCAGATATGTGATCCATCCTACCACTAGAGGCGGGATGCTGTTTCATCCTGCAGTTCATCATCCTACCGCTGGAGGCGCTGCAGCACAAGCGCGCACCCGACGCGCGCGCGCGCGCTCTCGTCCTCTCGGCATTCCACAGCTGACAGACTCTGAGGGATGAGAGAGGGAAGATGCTAAGGAAATGTTTTCCTTCACCGCAGAAAACAGGCGCCCAAAAACCGCAGAATGTGACTGAACCACCGCAGACGAGCACCGTCAACCAGGTAACGAGCTGTTTGGATATTAACGGTTTATAAATCGCTCCCGTGTGTTTGTGTTGTAATTGACACGTCGCTTTAACGTTAGCTGGCCTCAAACAAACCAGCGCAAATAATTCACCTCACTGAATAAACACGGGAATCAATGAACGCCTTCGCGGAGACAGAATTCACACTTCCCTGTCGGACCTGCAGCGATTTTTAACACCCTACAAAGTGAAGTTTTTCAGTGAGTGTGTCTCTGTGCTGACTGGAGATCATCTTGCTGCTACACTTCTCTGTTATTATGGTAAAACTGACAGCTTTTTTAATAGATTTATTTATGTACACTGGCTTTTGTTAACAGACAGGTGAGTGCTGGTAGTTTTGTTATCCACCTTCTATATTATGCTCCTTCGGTGAGTTTATTAATTTAAGTATTGTATATAATTGAATATGACTACTTGTATATGTGATTGAGGTAAAGTTGCTAATAATACTTTTCTGAAATTAAATTATTAAGGAGAAAGTCTGAATGTGTGAATGTAAACCAAATTTACCTCAATGTGTCTCTGTGTTGTCTGGAGATCATTTTACTGCTACACTACTCTTGTTATGGTAAAACTGAGTTGAGTAATAATATAAGAAACGTTAAATAAAAGAATGTGCAACTATAAAACCAACTTTACCTTTTTGTTCAGGGTTTCTGCGGGGTCTTAAAATGTCTTAAATCTCAAAATCTAAATTTAGGCCTTAAAAAGTCTTACATTTACTGAAATATTGTGTTGTAGGTCTTAAATCCTGTTTTTTAACCAGGTCATCTTTTTTCTTTTTTCTTGCATGAATTAAATTTATTATAGTTTTTAAAACATTTGTTCATTTTTCTTTTGATTTAAATAAAGTAAAAAAAAAAAAGTGCATGGATGCAACTAGAGCTTGCTTGTTTTTACACAATATTTAAAATATTTTGCAAAAAAATTTAATTTAAAATATTTGTAAAAATTTAATAATAATGTATTAATAAATTATAATAATTTTTTTTGATTGGGCAAATGAAAATCTTTTCCATCTGGGCCATTTGAAAAATGTCTTCGCCTTTGGCCTTTTGTGGGTCTAAAAATTCCATTCATATTCATAATGGTCTTAAAAAGTCTTAAATTTAACTCTGTAAAACCTGCCGAAACCCTGTTTGTTAACCAACAGGTGAGAGCTGGTAGTTATTGTGTGGTTATATTATCCTCCTTCTATATTATGCTGCTCCTGTATGTTTATTAATTCAAGTATTGTATGCAATAGAATATTTTATGACTCCTTATATATGTGACTGAGGTAAAGTTGGTTTTATATTTGCACATTAGTTTATTTTGACAGTCTCTATATTGTTTTCCTTGCTACTTTAGAAATTTGGTCTGAATTAGCATGCAAGGATGACCTCAAAACAACATAAGCACTATTTAATTGACTGTGAACACTGTTGTACTTTGAAAGTCGTTGGCTGCTAATATTATTTCCCTGTTTGGAATTTGCTTAAAACACTTTTCTGAAATTAAATTATTAAGGAGAAAGTCTGAATGTGTGAATGTAAACCAAATTATAAAGGTAAAATTGGTTTTATATTCGCACATTCAGACTTTCCCCTTAATAATATAATTTCATAAAAGTATTATTTACAAGCTTTAAATGGCGAGATCATATTAGCAGCCAACAACTATCAAAGTACAACGCTGTTTACAGTCAAATAAACAGTGTTAATGTTGTTTTCAAGTCACACTTGCATGCTAATTCCGATCGAATATTCAAAGTAACATGGTAAACAATAGAGAGACTTTGAAATGAACGAATGTGTGAATATAAAACCAACTCTACCTCTATAACCAAATTTACCTCAATGTGTCTCTGTGTTGTCTGGAGATCATTTTACTGCTACACTACTCTTGTTATGGTAAAACTGAGCTGAGTAATAATATAAGAAAGGTTAAATCAAGGAATGTGCAACTATAAAACCAACTTTACCTTTTTGTTCAGGGTTTCTGCGGGGTCTTAAAATGTCTTAAATCTCAAAATCTACATTTTAGGCCTTAAAAAGTCTTACATTTACTGAAATATTGTGCTGTAGGTCTTAAATCCTGTTTTTTAAGCAGGTCTGCTTTTTTTCTTTTTTCTTGCATGAATTAAATTTATTATAGTTCTTAAAACATTTGTTCATTTTTCTTTTAATTTAAAGAAAGATAATGTTGTAACAAAAAAGTGCATGGATGCAACTAGAGCTTGCTTGTTTTTACACAATATTTAAAATATTTTGCAAAAAAATTTAATTTAAAATATAAAAAAAAATTAATAATAATGTATTAATAAATTATAATATTTTTTTTGATTGGGCAAATGAAAATCTTTTCCATCTGGGCCATTTGAAAAAATGTCTTCGCCTTTGGCCTTTTGTGGGTCTAAAAATTCCATTCATATTCATAATGGTCTTAAAAAGTCTTAAATTTAACTCTGTAAAACCTGCCGAAACCCTGTTTGTTAACCAACAGGTGAGAGCTGGTAGTTATTGTGTGGTTATATTATCCTCCTTCTATATTATGCTGCTCCTGTATGTTTATTAATTCAAGTATTGTATGCAATAGAATATTTTTTGACTCCTTATATATGTGATTGAGGTAAAGTTGGTTTTATATTTGCACATTAGTTTATTTTGACAGTCTCTATATTGTTTTCCTTGCTACTTTAGAAATTTGGTCTGAATTAGCATGCAAGGATGACCTCAAAACAACATAAGCACTATTTAATTGACTGTGAACACTGTTGTACTTTGATAGTCGTTGGCTGCTAATATTATTTCCCTGTTTGGAATTTGCTTAACACTTTTCTGAAATTAAATTATTAAGGAGAAAGTCTGAATGTGTGAATCTAAACCAAATTATAGAGGTAAAGTTGGTTTTATATTCGCACATTCAGACTTTCCCCTTTATAATATAATTTCATAAAAGTATTATTTACAAGCTTTAAATGGCGAAATCATAGCAGCCAACAACTATCAAAGTACAACACTGTTTACAGTCAAATAAACAGTGTTAATGTTGTTTTCAAGTCACACTTGCATGCTAATTCCGATCGAATATTCAAAGTAACATGGTAAACAATAGAGAGACTTTTAAATGAACAAATGTGTGAATATAAAACCAACTTTACCTCTATAACCAAATTTACCTCAATGTGTCTCTGTGCTGTCTGGGATCATTTTACTGCTACACTACTTTTGTTATGGTAAAACTGAACTGAGTAATAATATAAGAAAGGTTAAATCAAGGAATGTGCAACTATAAAACCAACTTTACCTTTTTGTTCAGGGTTTCTGCGGGGTCTTGAAATGTCTTCTTTTTTCTTTTTTCTTGCATGAATTAAATTTATTATAGTTTTTAAAACATTTGTTCATTTTTCTTTTGATTTAAATAAAGTTAATGTTGTAACAAAAAAGTGCATGGATGCAACTAGAGCTTGCTTGTTTTTACACAATATTTAAAATATTTTGCTAAAAATTTAATTTAAAATATTTAAAAAATTTTAATAATAATGCATTAATAAATTATAATAATTTTTTTGATTGGGCAAATGAAAATCATTTCTATCTGGGCCATTTGAAAAATTCCTTCGCCTTTGGCCTTTTGTGGGTCTAAAAATTCCATTCATATTCATTATGGTCTTAAAAAGTCTTAAATTTAACTCTGTAAAACCTGCCTAAACCCTGTTTATTAATCGACAGGTGAGAGCTGGTAGTTCTTGTGTGGTTTATATTATCCTCCTCCTATATTATGCTGCTCCTGTGGGTTTATTAATTCAAGTATTGTATGTAATAGAATATTTTATGACTCCTTATATATGTGATTGAGGTAAAGTTGGTTTTATATTTGCACATTTGTTCATTTTGACGATCTCTATATTGTTTTCCTTGCTACTTTAGATATTTAGTCTGAATTAGCATGCAAGTATGACTTCAAAACAACATAAGCTCTATTTAACTGACTGAGAACACTGCTTTGGCTTTATTCACACCAAAAATATAATCGTTACATATTGTGTATAATTTTCTTTCTTTTTCCCACTTGGTTTTTTCCAAGTTTGGGTGAACAAAACTACATGTTGTATGGCTTTACGCGAGTCTGGACTGCTTTTATGGTGCTTTCTTTCTCTTTTTGGACACTGTCTTTTTATTATGCTGTATAGAACAATTTGAACTCCTCCTTATGTAAACATCTCCCTTTGTTCTCCATTAACAAAAGCAACTGAATTTAACTAAGGACTGTTATAACCATGCTTGTACTGTATCTTTCTAATGTACCCACATTGTTATTTCTTTGTTTTCTATAGATGATGTCAGTCGACTGGAATGGACCGATTATGGCCCAAAGTAATTAAAATGGCACATTTTGTGAAATAGAAATCTACATCTCCTGACTGGATCCCTAACGAAACCTTCTGGAGATCAATATATTGACCTTTTGACCTTTAGACCGGACGCCGGCTGTCAATATGTTGGGTTAAGAATGTGTGAAGTCGTCAGTCTTTGACACCGCAGTGAGCGTTTCCTTCAAGACCCATCTTTCGTATTCTTGGACTGTTAAAGAAGCTTCGGTCGGCATGTTTACGGCTCTGAAGAAGCTGGTGGGCTCCGAAGCCGTGCAGCTCAGGGATAGAAACATTCCTGCAGGCCTGCAATCCATGAACCAGAGTCTACAGAGACGCTTCGCCAAGGGTGTGCAATATAACAGTAAGAGCTTCATGTTTAATTGTCTTTGAGTAGAGCCACGTACAAAGACTATTTTAGTGTGTTGAAGCTTTCATTCATTGTTTTGAGCTTACATTTAGTCATTTTGTCAACAAGAGGCAATACACACAAGAAGTGATAATTATGGTATACAAAGGAACTGTGTGTGCTCAGAGAAATAAGCACTGGAGTTAGCATTTCTACAGGTGGTTTGTCATGACCACTCATGACTTAGCAATTTAAATCGCCACTGAGAATCTAAAGCATTTATCTATTTATTTTTTCATTTTATTATTATTAGCATTACAATAAATCAGAGGTGAAAATGTTATAAGTTGTTAATATAAAATGTAAATTAAGGCTTTTTTTTGGCTATTTTATCACATAAAGCTATTGTTTAAAAAATAAATAAACTGTTAATGTCCAGGCACAATATTACTTGAACATTTACCATTTAATTAAAGTACATTGCACAGTACCTTCAACTTCAAAACACAGCTATGAATACTTCATTAGACGAGTAAAATGCCTGTTTAAAATACCATGTTTACCATGAGTAATATTTTAAAGTTGTCATTATTCTAGACCAAAAGCCCACTGGGTTTCTTAAATGCACAACAAGATGTAACTGAATCCTCTTTGCTTTGCATGCAGCTGGTGTGATGGAGTTGTGTAGACTTTGTGTTTTGACATGCGATGCTGTAGCAGTGAGCCAGTCGGCGGTTCTTCATTGATCTCACTTTGAATACTCGTCGTGCTGTTTCCGCAGCCCTATGTTGATAAAAAATGCATGAATGATACACGATCACCCACCTACTGGCCTATTTTTCCAGTCTCTTCTCCTTAGTAGAGGTATCTTTTTTTAGAAACTTAGATATCCCACGATACCAAGCATTTCAGCTGCGAAAAGGGCATTTTTTTTGTGGAAATTTAGCCAGAACTGCTGTATCAGTACAATCCTTCAGTGCAAATACTAAGCAAATCTAGTATGTGATAAATGTGAGATATTTAATCTTGGTTTAGGTCAGTCAATGCACTGTGGTATTTAATTAGATACCATTTATTCAGGACTGTTGAATTTTAGGGTTCATATTAATGTGACCACACTTTACATTAAAGGTGCAGCAGTATGTAAGTTTGACACCCAGTGGTTAAACTAGGTATTGCACTCCTGGTTCAAAACACATTTCCACTCGGCCCCTCCTTTGATGACTCCACGCAAGCGCAAGTTGCCAGATTAACAACACCAACAGTGTGCCTGACTATCCAGCCTAAAGGCTGATTTAAAGCTGATTTAAACCATGTTCTAACTAAAAGCAATGGCACACGATGGAAGAAATATTTTCCATATTAAAAGGAGTTTTTGTCCTTACCAACACCTGACAGTTCTAATTTAGAAACTGCTTCTATTTCTCACAGCTGAACAACAGGAAAGTATGACAATATATCCTAATAACAATTAAGTGCGAATAATGTGAGCTTGAATGCTATTTTACAGATATTTATTGCCATACTACTGAAAGGAGCAGCAGATAGCTCACCTCAGATCTTAAAAATAGAATAAACCTTTTAAAATAAACTTTAGAAATGTGACCCCATGCAAACCAACAAATATTAGATTCAGCATCTACATTTAATACTGTTAAAGAGGTTTAATATGTATTAATTAGATTGTTAACATTACCATTTCGTTGGAGTGCAGTAAGTGCACTATTCTGTGCTTCTGACTGGCTGTATTTAAATTTCTGTTGTGTTTCGTCTGGTGTAAACATCCAGATTGCTTATCACTGCTAATCTTGTCGCGTATCATGTTGTTAGGACACTGGGTCACAATCTGACCTGCTTACCTAACGTTTACAATCGTAATATTTATATTATTTGCTAATTAATAACCACCTATTGAGGAACTCTGAATCTGCGTCTCATTTCGGCGGCTGTTACTGTCCTCCAAAGGTCGCATTTTGGTCGCAGACACATAATTTGAGAGTCTTCATGACTGAATAAATCAAATACGCTGTTTTCCACCAAGGCAACCCAGTAGACAATATAATAGGCTAAACTGGCAGTGGGCAGGTTAAAGGGACCAAAACAAAGACAGACGTTCCAGCACGTAACATACAATTCTCAAAGCAGAATATCTGACTTCAGCATTGTTTTTCAGATAAACAAGAACGTTCACTTAGCATGTTTCTTAAATATTTGCAAACAGATTATGCTATTATAATGCTTTAGAAGAGTCAAAAACTTGCATAAAACACCTTTAAGGTTTTATTAGTTAATATATTTACTAAAACAAACCAAGAATGAACAATACTTGTACATATATTAATCATAGTTTAAAATTTAGTTAAAGATGGTGTATGTGTTTTCTCGGTATTATTTATAGATGCTGAATGTGAGTTTTTGACACTTCTAAAACATTAATTACAATAATATATAAGCAGATATTTAAGAACTAAGTAAAGAATGCTAAGTAAACTAGGGTTTTTATGGTAGCAAAAATGTAGTATTCGTTCCCAATTCCACTGAAAATACACAGTTATCTGCACGACCTTCGATACCAAAGCAAAACTAATAAAAATATACTAATTAACCAACACACTATGTTTATTAACAAAGTTGAGCAATATTTAAACAGTTTTAAGGGTTGAAAGTCTTTTTTTAATTTCCCAAAAACATTTTTTTAACTTGTTACCTACTGTCTGCTTGTTTCTCTCAGTGAAAATAGTCATCCGTGGGGACAGGAACTCTGGGAAAAGTGCACTTTGGCACCGACTTCAAGGGAAAAAGTTTCTGGAGGAGTACATTCCCACACAGGAGATCCAGGTCACCAGCATTCACTGGAACTACAAAAGTGAGTATCAGATATACCTCTATCCAAAGTTGTAATAAGTGAATTTAATATTAACCAATATTATAGCAAATTACATGCAGAAATATTAGAACTGGGAAAGTCATTGTAGTTATTTCCATACATAATATATTTCTGTCACAATTTATTTTGGCGTACAATTCTCGCTCTTAATAAACCATTATATATGATACAATATATATTTTAGCTTAACAAACTCTTAATTTTTCTGAATATTAATAGTTATTGAGGTCGTAGTTGGGTTTATATATTGGAATAGGGATCTAGAATAAGATCATGTACTTTATAACTACTAATAAACAGCCAGTATATCAATAAGAGGCAGTGGCGGTTCTAGTTTAAATAGCACCCTGGGCAAAACCACCCCAATATACATTTTCAATAAAAATAACAATTTGTTTATTGTTATTATTAATATTATTATTATTTTTATACAATTACTATTCTAAATAAATTACAAAAAATGTAACTGAACAACAATGTAAAAGACACAACTGGAGTAATAATCTAAGACTTTTGCATGAATATTAACTATGACAGTTTCATTCAATAGATTACTCATTCATGCTGTATAATAATGTTGGGTTGGGACTTTTATTTTGAACCTTTCAAAAGTGCATAAATTCGTCATAAAACCTAACGAATGTTAAATGATAGTTTACCCAAAACTGAAAATTCTGTCATCATTTACTCGTCCTTCACTTGTTCCAAACCAGTTTTAATTTCTATCTTCTTTTGAACACAACAGAAGATATTTTGTAGAAAGTTTTTCCATAGTTTTTCTACTATAGAAGGTAGTAGTTAGTAGGTTTTAGCTTTGTTGAAAATATCTTCTTTCGTATTCAACGATATTAAGAAACTTAAAGGTTTGAGTTTAAAAGATTCATGACACATGACGAAGTACACATTCGTCGCAGAAGCTCCGGGAATACACTATAAAAAAATCACGGGTTCCATACAATCGATCTGTGTTGGGACAACATGAAGGAAGTAAGTTAACTTAATACACTGAAAATAATGTAATATCAGGAAGACATCAGGATCGCTAGCTACACCCGGAAATAAGGAGATCCATAAATTAGTAAGGGTGTCACGATCCTCCAAATCCTCGATTCGATTACATTTTCGATTCTAAAAGCACGATTCGATTCGATTTTCGATTATGAATAATTAATTAATTAATGACCAATTAATTATTTGTAGCCTACCGTTTAAACTACTTGACCTGCATGGTCTTTGTTTTACCCATAAACAAATCATACAGTAAATGAATAAAGGCAAGTTACACACATAATTACCACCTGTCAATCACTTTTTCTGCGGGAGAGAAAGGAGGGCTGCTCAGAAATACTACACGCCACTGTGGATGTCAAATCGTTGTCGTTCTAAAATGCCATTTAAAAACAAAGACAGTGTAAACAGGGCCTGAGTGTGTACTTTTCGCGAGCAGATTTGCAACGGGGGCGGGCGGAGGATCGCAATGCCGGTGTTGTCTATCGGACGAACCGTACATAATACGTGCAGAGCTTGCAAAACTGTGTTTTTTTTTTTGTCGACAACACGAACGTTGTCAACATAACTCACTGGAAATCCAAAATGCTTCCACACCGGCGACTTCATTGAAAGAGGAGAGGGTTTAAGTTCTGTCGACGGGTCTCCTGCTTCTGCAGTTTAACAAGCACTTCAACAAGCCTGTTTTTTTCCCGCTTGGCAAGCCAAGCTGACGTGACATGGGGGCGTGGCAGCATCGACGATTCTATTTTTTGATTCGATAATCGAAATTGAGCATAAATTTCTATCGATTTCGATTAAAAATCAAAATCGTGAAACCCCTATAAATTAGTTTTTTTTTTTGTCATTATGACAAATTTTTACAACAAACAAGCACGTTTTAATAAATTTATAACCGTGTTCATGTTTTACCGCCATGCTTAAAAAAAAAAAACGTTAAAATATCCATTAATATCCTATAATCCACAATAATAACTCCTGTATAGTAATCCCACAACATTCTGACACTCGATGACACTAAAATACCCTGTCAGCAGAGGTCACGTTAACCGAATATTTTTCGTCAGTGATGGATTTTTTTTCAGCAGCGACGAAAAAATCTGAAGGTGATCCGTCATTTTGTAATTTGTAGCTAATTGTAATTGCCACTCTTGTCCAGCTGATGGCGATTGTCCTTGTTTTGTCTCCTCTTTGTCACCGCTGCGTACAGTTGCAAAAATGTCACAGCTGCTGAGTGTGAGAAGTTTCTTTAAATGGCCAAATAGTTGTGATATTAAATATAAAGGTGAAAAAAGAAGAAGTGATGCAGTGGACGATGAAGAACAAACAGAAAGGAATCCTCAGTCGCCGACAGCTGTTCAAGCCAACCAAGCAGCAGCAAGGAGGTCAGGTGCTTTGGAGTGCGTTGTGAGCACTACCAGTAGACTGTAAAATATAGGCACTACCGAACGCAGAGGTGTGCAGCCATGCCCCTGGTGCAGGAAGGAGCGCGTGCTGTAGTATTTTTCCCGGTGAAACGAGTGCTTGCAGGATCGGGAAATCTCACATTCAGAGAATCCAGCAAACTTAGTTTTGATCAAAGCCTTAGGAGAAATGTTTCCTAACTACAAAACGCTGGCTTAAGTGGCGCTAGTAAATCTGGTCTTTAGTCACGAAAAGTCGACTTTCCTGAGGCAAAGACACAGAATTTAATGACAACTGCCTCTGCATCAATCTTCCTTGATGTGTTTGATTCACACAGGCAAGCACCCAGTTCAGGTCGACGCAGGAGGAAGATATGAGTTAAGGCAGACAGGAGTTTTAGTTCATTTGTCGAATAAATAAATGAATAATTTAGCCTATATGCTCGTCGTGCAAGTTCATCATTAGAATATGAATGAAAAAAATGATTAGAAAGTCTGCAAATTACATAACGATCAATAATAGGTCATGACGGAATTTTTACAATCTTCTCCGTCAAAATGACGGACAATGAGAATGTCTAACGCGACCTCTGCCTGTCAGAAAAGTCTAGTGGCTGGTAATGAGCTTTTTACAGTGTCCGCTATAATGTTAATGTTGTCTGGTGTGTTTACATAGATGAATATGGCCACTAAATGCGCTGTATAGTTATGATCTTATTGCCACATTAGATTGTTATAATAACATAATGTATGCCTTCATTTCCTGTAGATAAATACTAAAAAATAACACAACTGGAATAACTACAGCAGTCTCCATCGACTGATCTCATATGAAGCAAGAGATCGCGATGACGTTTGATGATGTGTGTAGGTGCTGTGGTGCTGTCCCAAGTCTTAGGGACAGCACCACATTTTGAAGCCCTTCCCCTTAACCCTCTGATTCAAGGGGAAGGGGTAGGGGTACTAAAATAGAATTGGGATTGGGCCTTTGTTTTAGCTTATTTTATTAAGTTAATCAGGCTTCAAAATATTTTTAAATTATACTTAATAATTTTATCAAAGATTATTTGCTATCAAAGAGTGATAATGGTCTATCAGAAACATCAGGGGCCTCATGTACGAAAACTTGCGTGGAAATCATACTAAAACATTGCTTACGCACAAAGCAGAAAAAAATTCAGATGTATGAAACACTGCGTACGCCGAATCTCACGCATATTCTTTTGTACATCCGAATGAACGTGAAACTGAGCGCAACATGCACGAGCACAAAACCCCTCCCTGCCTCCTCCCCCTTATGAATATGCTAATGACTCTACTTTGGCAAAACCCAACGAAAAAGCAAAGGCAAAAGCAAGCAAAAAGAGAAACTTTGAACAGAATGTGAATTGGAGGTGCTGCTTTCGGAGGTAGACCGGAGAAAAGCGGTGTTATTTGCAAGTTTATCCTCCGGAATTAACAACAAAAGAAAAAAATAGAGTGGGAGAGTTTAGCTGATGCGGTTAACACAGTTAGGTCTGAACATCATGGGGTCTGAGTGAATTAAAGAAAGAAATAGTGTGGTTTATATCTGTAAAATGTTGCAGTTCTCTTAACAGTCTCAGTGGCGCAGCTCGTAAGACGCATGTCAACATGTTTTGACATGTTCGAGCATGAACTCAGTTCGAATCCAGTGTCGCATGAACTCTTTCATCTTTTTTCCCCACTACATATCAGATTTTGCCTACTATTTATCACAAGAAAGACAAGTAGGAATCATTAATAAGTTTGTGCATCATATTTATTTGCACATTTATTGAATTGAAATGTTTCTGATTCACGCATGCAAATTCATCTTCAGATAGTGTCTTTATAGCAATGTGCGTGCGGTAGATAGCTCAGATTAGATTGGGAAAACAGGCGACCACTGCAAATTGTGCTTTAATGTTTGGCTGGTCAACTGTATGTTATGGAAACCTTATATACCTGCTAGATGAACCCGTCTCATACAGCTGCCATTGCAAGGCTCAGACACTTTGTAGAGAGGAATTTAACACAACTGCCTCTAGGAGTCGCCAATGGAAATAAAACAGACACGCACAAAAAATGTGGGTACGCCAGCCATAAAGCTGCCGTGGAGCTGCGCACATTCCCACGTTCAGTTCATCGTTAGTAAATCCAAACGTGAGCGATTCTGAGCGTGAAACCTGGCGTACGCAAAGTTTTTGTGCGTACGCAGCGTTGATACATGAGGCCCCAGATGTCTCTGATTCTCTTATGTTTAGCATCAGAAGAAGCATCAGTTTTTCTGACCATGTTTTTCATGCTTTTTAATTTTTGCTCCACAGCAACAGATGATGTAGTGAAAGTTGAAGTCTGGGACGTGGTGGATAAAGGTGAGTTTTTAGAAATCACTTATGCACTTGACTGGTGAAAATGTTCTATACAGTTGGGGTCAGAAATATTAGCCCCCCTTTGAATTTCTTTTCTTTTTTAATATTTCCCAAATGATGTTTAACAGAGCAAGGAAATTTTCACAGTATGTCTGATAATATTTTTACTTCTGGAGAAAGTCTTTTTTTGTTTGATTTTGGCTAGTATAAACGCAGTTTTACATTTAAAAAAAAAAAAACATTTAAAGGTCAAAAGTATTAGCCCCTTTAAGCTATATTTTTTCCCGATAGTCTACAGAACAAACCATCGTTATACAATAACTTGCCTAATTACCCTAACCTGCCTAGTTAACCTAATTAACCTAGTTAAGCCTTTAAATGTCTCTTTAAGCTGTATAGAAGTGTCTTGGAACATATCTAGTCAAATATTATTAACTGTCATCATGGCAAAGATAAAATAAATCGGTTATTAGAGATGAGTTATTAAAACTGTAATGTTTAGAAATGTGATGAAAAAATCTGCTCTCCTTTAAACAGAAATTGAGGGAAAAAATAAACAATGGTGCTAATAATTTAGGGGGGCTAATAATTCTGACTTCAGCTATATATTTTGCTAACAAATTTTTTATTTGCAGAGAAAGAATCACTTGTCATCATGAATAGGGTTTTATTAATTAATTAATTTACTAACATGAACTAAGAACGGACAATACCTGTACAGCATTTGTTAATTATAATTCAACATTTACTAATGCATTATTGTTTAAATCCAAAGATGTGTTTTTTTAAACATTAGTTAACATACACTGTAAGTTAACTTAAACGACTTTATTTTTATTAGTGTTAACAAAGATCAATGAATCCTCTAATTAATGTGCTGTTCATTGTTTGTTCATGTTTTTAACTAAATTAACTAACTCAACCATATTTTTAAACGTTACTTATGTTTATATTTATAAATGCAGACCAAGTGAAATGGTCATCTTAATATGTCTTCAGCTATCTTAAAAGGGGAAAGATGTGATGTTTTATGTTACTTCTTTTTTTTGGTCTGCAAATATTTAAAGGGCAAAAGCTTCCTCTACCAGAAGGTGTAGGTGAGAACTAGTAGTCAAACATTAAACTGTGTGTGTGTGCTGTGCTCTGATCCTCTCTCTCTCTCTCTTTTTTTTTTTTACTATTAAACTGTGCCCAGAATAGATGTTATGTTCAGTAGCCTGTGCTATTGTTAGACCCTACTGTGTATTTACATTAAAATCAAATGGACATGCTTTTATCCTCATAGTACATTTATTTAAATAGGAGGCTTCTGATTTTTTTATTTATAGTGAATTCCACTTTTCTTTAGGGCTGCATATATATATATATATATATATATATATATATATATATATTAGGGTTGGGCATCTAAGCTATAATGCCGATCCGATACACATCTCGATACAAAGAATACGATCCGATATATTAGCGATACATTTGTAACACTGCGATGCAACACGATACGATTTACACCCATATCACGATACAATGCGATAATTCAGCACTAACTTATTAGATCAAGTTTATGAGATGATGTAAGAAAGGATGCTGTGCCATTGAATGAGTTTGATTATTTATTTACCAAGCAAAACCAAGACTTTTTTTACAAACTGGCTTTTCTCTCAGAGCCAGAGTGTCAGTTTACAGTAGAGGGCCATTTTAGAACCTATAGCACATATTATTTAAGTATTTTCAAGATAAACAGAATGTATAAGTGCAATATATACTATAAATGTATATATTTGCACTCTTTCAACATAAAGGTTTAGCATTGCACAACAAGAATTGTGATTTAACTTTTCAACTATGAAAACAAGTTTTACAAAGATATATTGTGCCACTGAATATTCAAAACTTAAGGTCGTGAACTAGCAGTGTTATGTTGCTTTGAAACATCACTATCACTGTAAACAACAGGCTAATAAAAATATAAATAAATTAAAATTAACAGGAGGTGTTTAAAACTTTCGTTCTCCATGACACTAGGCTGAATATCTTTGCAGATGAACAATGCAATAGCATTCGTTATTGGCGTAGAGCGAGCAGAACTGTTGTGCATGGAGAAAACTTTCAATGCTTTTCTCACCACTTTTGGAGCTGGTTGAAGCAGAGCAGGAAGCAGGGGATGCAGGAACACTGGAAGATGCTTCCACAACAACACCGTGGCGCCGCTTCAAGTGAGATTTCAGATTAGTCGTACTGTCCGTGTATTTTACAGATGCGCGGCACATTTTGCAAATTGCATCTGTCCTGTCAAGTCGTCCATCCTTTTTGCAGAATCCATAATGTTGCCATACTTTAGATTTAAAACTCAGTGAGAAATAAAATGTTTGTTTTGCTTCTCGCGCTTTCTGAGGGCGCACCACTAGCTTCATCCGCACACCTGATACACTGAGTTGTAGTGTAAGTGTACACATCCGCAAATCCGTTGCTAATGCATACTTTATGTAGGTCGATTAAATTATGCGCCAAAAACAGGTTGACAACACTTGTTAATAAATAAAAAATACATTCTATATTAAAAATATAAGTTGTATCTTGGAAAAACCGGTGCATCTCGCAAAAACCGATGCATCTCGATTTGCTTCCAAAATTTCATTCATCCTCTGCTGCTCTACCGATGCACTCGCATCGTGCACGCGCATGACCGCGTATCGATACATATCGGTTAATCTTCCCATCCCTAAAATATATATATATATATATATATATATATATATATATATATATATATATATATATATAATTTAAAGACTGATATGATAATTGCTTATGAAATATCCATTTAAAGTGTTTATTGTCTGCATTTTCTGTTATTTTTAGCCTGAATTAGATTAAATTAGGTCAGAAAAATACAAATTGTATGTCTATATTAGTATGATCGTTATAAAAATAAAAGTTTTAAACGATAGCTTATAAAACAAGACATTTCCAGGGAAATATCTTGACCGCAATACTCTACAACAGTGTTTCTCAACTGGTGAGCTAAAAGTGGGTTGCGGGAACGTTTTCAGTTGGTCGCGGAGTGTGTAGTCAAAAAAGCAACAAAAAGTTTTTTTTTTTGATCAGACTTTTATTTTGAAATGCGTGTGCGACAACTCAACTTTTCCTTACCACTGTTTACAGTATTTGACGTTTTTACTCTGTAATATTATTATAATTTAACACATTTTGTTGAATGAAAGCAGTAGTGTTTATTTGTAAGCCTTGGTGATTTTCTTATGATTTATCTGTCAATACTTGTGTATGTTAACAAATAAATACAAATTAATTATAATCCCTAAAATTATATTATACAGTAGTTCCTACAAATTTGGGTCGTGGCTTGATGACTGTACAAATGTGGGTCCCATGGCCAAACTAGTTGAGAACCACTGCTCTACAACATCACATACTGCATATTTTACAGTATCGTGCAGCTCTATTTTTCTTGTCATTTCTGTTTTTAACTCTGAAAACATCAATATTTCAAACTGACCTCTTCTAATAGTTTATAAATGATGCACGGCATGAACATTCAATTGATTTTCTTTAGCTTGTGATTGAACAGCAAAGTACTTTTAGACTTGCCAGAGTTTTCTATTTATTTCTGTTTATTTTCGCTTTGTGAATTAGTAGTTATGATGATCCACAAAGGTTTAAATGGTGACAAAAACGTTCATTAAAATAGTAAAACCATAAAAAAAACAACCTTGCTGGGTTATAGGAAAACAAAATTATATTCAAGACTCAGGGCTCTATTTTGACAGTCCATGTGCCGAGTGCAAAACGCAGGGCGCAAACGCTTTCAGGGCGTGTCAGAACGCATTTTTGCTAATTTAAGGACGGGAAAATCTGCTTTGCGCCGTGGCGCATGTTCTAAAAGGGTTGAGTTTATTTTCTTAATGAGTTATAGGTGTGTTTTGAGAATAAACCAATTAGAGTCTCATCTCTCATTCCCTTTAAGAGCCAGCTGCGTCACGCCAAGAGCCCATTCGCTATTTAAAGGAGTTCGCTATTTAAAGGATTTAAAGTAAGTCTAAGTGGAAAAACTGAGCATTTCACTAGTTAACAGTTAACAGTTTTTTAACAGAAAACTGTTAAACAGAGCATCTACTGCGTGAGAATGAGAGATAATGGATCACTTTCACTTTCGCTCTTGTTTTTTAAGCGCAAATATTAGTTTCAAAACTATTTCTAAATTCAGTTCTAATTTCCAGCAAACGAATAAATGAACAATAATAACAAAGTGTGCTCAAAAACCTGAGTTATATCCTAAAACACATGCTGTGACCCATATGGTCTAAAACCTGACAGGTGGGCAAATCTAAGTTTGTTTTTAATAAAACAAATATAAATATAGATATAATAAATAATACTGCTAATAATAATAACATTATACAAAAGCTAATTGTCACGAATAAACTGAAAAAGACTCCCGAGATGAAGAAGACATAAAAGCAGTGATTTTTCATATTTTTGTAGGCTAGAAAATAATATGTTTTGTAATATTTTAATCCTTTATATTTATATTCAATATCTATTCTTATTATATCCTATATATATCCTTAATATTTACATTTTTTCATATGTAAAGATATTTGCCTATTGTTCTCTTGTGTGTATTAAGCAGTGCGTAAGCGAGGCGCAACTCTACGCTGGAGTTTAGACCGGGTTTGTTTTGGTCTAATGAAAAATCTATTATAGTTTCTCAAAATAGCAACGTGCCAGTGGTCCGCCTCAGAACGCCTTCCTTTTTAGACCAGAACGCCTATGGGCGCACAATTGAGCGCTAATGCATTTGCTATTTAAACAGCGTAGCGCAACGCCTCAAAACGACTCTTGCGCCAAGCTGAAACTAGCAAAAGACTATTGCGCCGCGTCTTGCGCCACACTGCGCCGGGTGTATGATAGGGCCCTAAATGTGTGGCTACAACTTCTTATTAATTCAAAACATTCATTCATTATAACTATTAAATATAACAGCGCAAACTTTTCTGTTACCGTAGTGGGGCTGTGCGCTGTTTGTTTAACCCTTTAAGGTGACATGCTGACAGACTGACTGACTTATTGACAGGTGCGCGATGCGTGAGGCCTGCAAACACGACGTAGCTTTCAGTTAAGATGAACACAATTTCCATAATTATACTTTATTTATAGATAAAGGTCTGTGGTTCTGCATACAAAGAATTTAACGTTATCTTGCTGGAGTTTATAGCCTTTCACTTTACTCCAGACGCATTAATACCGATCTGTAGGTTGGAGACATTGAAGACATTCATTAATATTCCTAGCAAATCTAATTAATGTTGGAGACATACTCACTACATAAACGCACTAAATCGCACTTCAGCAGTGTTTATTTGAGAGCGCACCAGAAGATCTGCGTTTGAGGAAATCAGTGTGCAAGCAGTGATTGGGATGCTTGTATTAACATTACATAAATGCGATCCTGATGTGTACTGCGCTCAACACAGGTATCCATTTGTCATTGAAATAACGCCGTAGGTATTTGGTAGATTTGTGTAAAAGACCTGCTGCCACAGCTGGAAACACTGAGACATTTAGCTTTTTGCATTGCTCAAACTTGCGTTCTGTGCTCATTATGGTTTAAGTGTAGTAAAACCATTATATGTAGTGTAAAGTAACTATATGAGTAAGCTGTGGTCACCATGAAAATATTTGCACGAGGAGCGGCTGCTGTTGACTCAAGTTTGCTAATTATCTTCTGTCTGCTTTTTCAGTTCATGCATATGTAAATATTTAACCATGATCTTATTTAAAGTGACACTGTAATTAATGTGAATAACTTTGTGTTTTGGAATGAGATGCCAGAACTGGATTTAACACGGCCACTCGTTTAATAAAAGAGAAAAATATAGGTTGTGTGATTTGAAAATTAATGCATCAAACTGTATTCTATGGATTGAAGTTTACCTTGCATTTATAATCTATAATAATCAAATTTATAACACATATGTCTAATCAGTATAAGTAAGTACAGTTTAAGTAAAATACGAAAGTAGTGGCATCAAGGCCTTTAATGTATTTGATTCCCAAGCAATGAAATCACAAAATGAAAACTTTTAATTATGGCTGTGCAATATATTGCAACATTATTGTTATAGCGATAATAGTTTATGCAATAATTGTATCACAGACATGTGAGATAACATACGTTTATGTTATGAATTGGTTGTTTATCTAAATTTGACCAATCAGTTGGGGCCTTACTATCTTAAACCCCGCCTTCCCAGTAGTTGCTGTTCTGCTATTGGCTGGAGCGGCCCAAAGCTGAAATTAACACAAATGGCAGGAGTCGAGATGAGGGCAGAAAATTACAACCAATCAGAGAGGGTTTCACTCATTTATAGTGGTTTAAAGACTAAATGTTTGCACATTTACACAGTTTTAGTCGGAGTTAGAATTAATTCAATAGAAAAATATCTTTTATGCAGTTTATTTTAATATCATGAAATCAATAAATGATTTAGAACATGGCAAAAAAATAGCATTGTTCTATGGAAACTATTTATCAAAAGAAACAACAGCGCATATTTTTAAAGTATTGTGCAGTCCTAACTCGAATACAACCGCTTTGGATAAAAAATAAATAAATAATAATAATAATTATTATTATATATAATATTTTATGTTTGCTGTGAAGATGATCACTCTTGTGAAAGCATACATACCCTGGACAGCTTTTGTAAGTGGAAGGAAACCAATTTAGCTTGTCTACTCCGGTGCATATACTGGGAAAGCATATGAACATTACTCTTCTTGTACCGCCACACTAATTGTAATATCTGTGTTTTTCCAACTACTGCAGGGAAAGGCAAAAGACGCGGGGAAAATCTGAAACTGGAAAACGAACCGCAGGAGGTATTTACTGCTGTTTGTATGTAGTTATTACTACTAGTCAAACGTCTTGAGATTTCTACAATTATTTTATTGCCACAAGATGAAAACTGCAGTGTGAATTACAAACTGTGTGAAATATTATTACAATTTAATATAACCGTTTTTTATTAAAATATTTGAATATTAAATTTCTCTTTGTCTTTAGTGCCAATATGTATATTATAATTATTTTTTTTGAATGAATGATTGAAAAATATTAGATAGTGATACCTTAGATTTGCATCTAATAACAATTTGACATCCTCAAATATTAAAGCTACACGTGAGTTGACATTAATGTTCATTCAGCTGGAATTTTTGCGTTCTGTGCAGTCTGAAACAGAGATGGCTCTTGACGCAGAGTTTCTGGATGTCTATAAGAACTGTAATGGCGTGATTATGATGTTCGACATCACCAAACAGTGGTAAGAAATCTCACATTCCTTCTGTTTTTCCCCTCTCCGTTTCACATTCACTCTCTCCAAATCTTTCAAAGACTCAACAATACACTCTACACCAGGCGTGACCAACCCTGTTCCTGGAGATCGACCTTCCTGCAGATTTCAGTTGCGACCCATATCAAAAACACCTGCCTGTAATTATCAAGTGCTGTTCAGGTCCTAATTAATTGGTTCAGGTGTGTTTGATCAGGGTTGGAGCTGAGCTTTGCAGGAAGGTCGATCTTTAGGAACAGGGTTGAGCACCACTGCTCTACACAATACACTCCGTGCAAATTTACTACTCTTTAGTTATGTTCGTGGCTATTTTTGCCCCATTGACTTCCATTATAACAACATTATAACAACTTTTTCGACTGCAAAGCCATGACACCATCTAATTTTACTGTTGATCATCAGTTGCAGTGCAAAAAAAAAGCTTAGTATCTGGCTTTTATATGGAGTTAATGTGTGTGTGCATGAGTGTGTGAGAGACCTTTGTATGCTTACCTTGATTTGTATGATATACCTTGAAAATCTAAGTAATCTCAGAACATAGTAAACATAGTAATTGTTATTATGCACACACATTAATTTATTGTTTTACTCAATAGAACTACATATAAAAGCCAGAAACTTTTGCACAGCTGTAATCATAATGTTTGACATAACCAAACCGTAGTTAGAAATTACATTAGTTTTTTTCTCCTACAAACCACATCCACTCTCTCCAAACCCCACATTCACATAGCAGGGCTCAACAATAAGGACTGCCCAGTGGCCCAGGGCCAGTGTGTGAGACACTTGGGACAGTAGACAGGATCATTACCAGCTATCGTTGGTCAGGATCAGGTGCCAGAACTGGGCGTTGGGTTGCATCTGTTTCTCTGTAGGGTTGAGGAACAAAAAAAGCAATGAAACCAATACCTGCAGCCCAGATTCTCTTAGGGGTTCTGACTGTTTAACTCTTCGCTCATTGGATTTACTTTTTGACCCAAGCACACCTTCACAGATGACCTATGGAACAAAATCAATGTCAAAAGTATTTAATTAAAAGGCTTTAAATAGCACAAACTGAGAAGAATAACACACTGAATTAACAAGTGCTTGCATTTTAATGACTTGAATTGCAGGGTTGTATTTTTAGGTCCTGAAATTTAACATAGCTGTTTATTTAAGCTGTGAATATTTTAACAAAAAATATTTCAAACACATTTTCATACTTATAAATTCAATAAATCATATTAAATTTCCAGATTTCACTTACCAAATATTTAATACCCTTTTAAAAAGTGAGGTTTACGGTTTTTACGTGATCACCAGCTGGCTTCCGTTGCTCATTTTTCTCACACTCATTTTATTACTTATAATGTCCAAATAATGAAATTAATATTAAATGCTAATTTTGTGCCTTTAGTAGCTTTTTTCTTGCCTGTTTATTTAACTCAATTCACCTTTATATGTATAGCGCTTTTACAATGTAGATTGTGTCAAAGCAGCTTCACATTAAAGATCATTGTAAATTCTAACAGTGTAGTTCAGTTTTTAGTGTTTAAGTTCAGTTCAGTTGAATTAAGTGTGGTTTAATAATCACTACTGAGAGTCTAAACACTAGAGAGCAAATCCATCGATGCATAGCTCTACCGATCCCAAGCCATGCAAGCTAGTGGCGACAGCGGAGAGGGGAAAAAAACTTCACAAATTGGAGAAAGTTAAGAAATAAAACCTTGAGAAAAACCAGACTCACTGGGTTAAAAATCTTAATTTATTCCAACTCCACCTGCTGGTGAAAGCTAGAGCAGCTGGCGATCATCAATCTGCAATCTACTGCTTTTCCTGCAGTTCCCGCATGTAATGTCGAATTTTAACAGTCGAATTTGAACCACTGAATTTATGGAAGCGAATCTCTGAACTGAAATAAACTGAACTAAAAACTACCTTTTGAATATTACACATCGTATTTTTAAAGGGTATTGAATATTTTGTAAGTGAAATCTGGAAACTGAATATGAATTATTGAATTTAAAAGAATGAAAAAGTGTTTGAGATGTATTTTGTTAAAATATTCACAGCTTAAATAAACAGCTATGTTAAATTTCAGGACCTAAAAGTACAAACCTTGGACTTCAAGTCATTAAAATGCAAGCACTTGTTAATTCAGTGTATTATATTTTTTCAGTTTGTGCTATTTGACAAGCTTTTTAATTCAATACTTTTGGCATTGATTTTGTTCCATAGTGATCCTTTGCGAATCTGAGCTCCGCTTTATTAAACTTTCTGCTATAAAAACTGCTTTTGTGCTTCTTGATGATCTGCAAGCACTTTTTAAGATCATTTAATTAGTTTAGCAGTTTTTATACACGTTTATTACTGTTTTTTTTATTTTATTTTTTTAGTAATATTATGATTTTTAATTCATCCGTCCATTTTCATCCTATTATCTGGGGATGAATTGGATTATATATAAATATAAAATAATGGTCACACTTTATTTTATGGTACAGTTGTCACTTTTAACAAACCAAACCAGATGGTCAGTAGCTGGATGGGAGACCACATAAGAAAACTAGATTGTTGTTGGAAGTGTTGTTAGAGAGGCCTGCAGGGGGCACTCAACCTGCAGTCTGTGTGAGTCCTGATGCCCCTGTATAGTGAAGGGGACACTATACTGTCAGTGACTGCCCTCTTTCGGATGAGGTGTCCTGAGGTCCTGACTCTCTGTAATCATTAAAACCCCCATGGCACTTCTTGTAAAGAGTAGTGGTGTAACACCAGATTCCCTCCATTGCCTTTTACCCATCATGGCCTCCCAATCATCCACATCCACCGAATTGGCTCTTTTGCTGTCTATTCATTCCACCAATAGCTGGTGTGTGGTGAGCGCACTGGCGCCGTTGGCCTGTGGCTGGTGTCGCATCATCCAAGTGGATGCTGCACACTGGTGGTGATGTGGAGAGACCCCTCTCATGATTGTGAAGCGATTTGGGTGTATGGCCATACACAATAAATTCGCTATATAAATACACACATTACATTACGTGTAGGAATAGGCATGAAGAATAAGATCACACTTTATAAGCATTAATAAGCATTAATAACTCACAGTTAATAAGCCAGGAGTTAATGGTGGTAATTAATACTTAGCTTAAGTGTTACCACACACACACACACACACACACACACACACACACACACACACACACACACACACACACACACACACACACACACACACACACACACACACACACACACACACACACACACACACACACACACACACACACACACACACACACACACACATATATATATTAATTGAAATTTGTAAATTGAAGTTTTTAGGCTGTAGTCAGGCAAACTACACAAGACCAGCACACAGCTTTGTTTTTTCATGCTGCTTGCTAATAATATACTGACTTTTCACTATTTTTCTTGCCAACATATATGTGGGAGGTATTAAGTATGGAAATGATGGCCAGTGATGCAAATAAGATTTGATGAATCACTTTAAAAATTAACTACACTTAGTGTTAAACAGTTCTTATTATGTCTTTTTTCATTACTCCCAAAATACCTCATGCACCATTTATGTCATTATGTAAAATCTCATATTTGAGTGGAAATAAAAACAATGGTTTGTGTGTCTCTTTAAATGCTAATGAGCTGCTGCTCCCTGCCTTAACCTCCAGAAGAGGGCAGAGCCTTTACAGCTTGTGCATCAGTTACTCAGACAGAAACATACAAAACGGGGTTTTTAAAACTGTGAATATTAAGACATATTTGTTCCCCCAAAGAAAACAGACCTTAGTATGTTTATGTTTTATGTTTAGAATTGTTTTATATAGCATGTTTAAAACAGCCACAAACCTGCATCATAAAAACGAGAGATCCAAAAAGAGAGATGGAAAAAGATAAAAATAGAAACCCAAATTAGACACAAAAACAGGCTAAATTAAATTCCTAATAGGACCATGAAAACAAGTGGGTTTTTAAAAATAGACAGGCTAGGTATTTGAGGTCATTCAGAAATTATAAAGAGAATAACTCAAGCTTGAGAAACTTGCTAAATTTCCAGATCTTTTCATGCCCAAACCATATTTTTACATACTGAAAGAATAATGAGACCCATTTTAGGGTGCTTTCACACCTATAATACAATGAACTGACAAAACAGGCTATATCACAGTGTATTATGGTTATGTAATAGGCATATATATATGGCTAGAAGAAGGGAATACTGAGTAAGGAGAGACATTTGTACCATTAAAAGTGTGTTTCCTGTCCAACACAAAAGAGAAGACATGCTGGCTAACTGAACTATTAACAAATATAGTAATTCCATTATCTTTTTGGTTAACACACTTCTGATATATATATATATATATATATATATATATATATATATATATATATATATATATATATATATATATATATAT